GCCCCTTCCTCATATTTTCCCCTCCCCTCCCCTCCCCTCCCCACAGCCCAGCCCAGCCCCTTCCCCCAGGGCCACCTCTAGGTTTTTTGCTGCCCCAAGCAAAACATTTTTTGGCCGCCTCCCCCTTTTTTTGTTGTCTTTTACACGTTTGCAGTTTGCAATAAGTTTTTTTTTTGTTTTCGTTTTTGTCCTGGCATTTTAGCCCTATAAATAGCAAATAGCATTTTCGTTCGTTTTTTTCCATAAAGGCAAAGGCGCTTCAAGTGAACGCCTCCTTTCACTCCCTGCTGGGTCACAGCAGCCTTTTCCCTGCCCTGTCGAGCCCCTCCCTATGGACAAGGACCCTTCACTCCCGACTCACAGGGGGAGCAGGGTGCAGGGACAGCACAGACACAGAGCCAGAGGGGTGCAGGGAACAGTGGGGGGATATGGGGGTGGCATGGGGAACGGGAGGCACAGAGCCAGATGGACGCAGGGATCGGGGGGAACAGGGTGCGGTGGAGGCACGGAGAATGGAACACAGGGAATGGGAGGGGCAGAGGGATCGGGGTCTAGGAGCAGTGCAGGGAATGGGCAGCACAGAGCTGGGGGGGCATGGATCGGGGGGAGCAGGGTGCGGAGTGCAAGGGCAGCACAGAGCCAGAGGGTCACAGGGAAGAGGGAGAGCAGGGGGTCTGGGGTGCAGGGGAGCAGGGGCAGCGTGGGGAACGGGCGGCGCAAAGACAAAGGGGGGCTGGGGCCGTGGCAGGACTGGAGCTAGCGGGGCAGGCCCTGGCTGCGCTGCGTGCTGCAGCCAGCTCCCAAGGACACGCGGCTAGAGCCGAGCTGCCGCGGCTCTTTAAAATCAGCGGGGCCATGTCACGCCAGCGTCCTGGCATCCCGCCCCGCCTCCTCGCACCTCAGCTGCATGCAGGCAGCCCAGTGGCAAGAATCGCCACACTTCCCCCTTCCCAGCAGCGCTCTGCTTCTCCACTGGCCGACGGATAGGATGGGGCCGCGCTGCTCGTAGTGCAGGCTTCCGCCAGCCCATCACAATGGCCCACAGGGCCAGTCCACCCCTGCACTCTCCAGCTGATAAAATCTACTCACCACAGGCAAGAGGGTGAGTGTATTTGTCGAGCCCTGTTCATTTGCATAATCGCATAATGGCGCTCTTTCGAAAAAGCACCATTTTGAAAGTAAAACCGCAGTCTAGATGCAATTCTGTTGAAAATGGCAGGCTTTTTCGAAAGACAGAATTCCGTCTAGACCTTGGTTTTATTTTCGAAATGGTGCTTTTTCGAAAGATCACCGTTAAGCGATTATGCAAATGAAGCATAGGATATTTAAATCCCCGCTTCATTTGCAATTTCAAAGTGTCTAATTTACATCCCTCTGTCGAAAGAGGGATGTAGTCTAGACACAGCCACAGAAACATACCTAAGTATGTGTTGTTTTTTTATTTTTTTTTGCTGCCTTGGAGCTTCTACTACAATTTTACATCAATATAACCATTTAAATAAGTAACAATGCTGTGTCTTGGTGGAGACATCTGTTCCTCACTTACCTTTCCTCAGGACACTCTTTACGTGCTAAGTGAGCCCTGAAAACTGACTGGATGAATGTTACAATCTCATCTTCCTCCTTGAAGTCAGAAAACAAGCTCAAAGAGCTGGACCCATCAGATATGTTGGGGCCCTGTAATATAAAGGACCGAAGGGAAAAAAATCAGCTTTTTAATAAATTCCTTGCCAAAATAACTGCACTTCTAACATTTTTATTTTTGATCATGAACGTGGTGTCACCTGGTAGTGAGAAAGCATTTACTTTTTTTTGGCTTGCAGGCCTGTGGGGTTTTCCTAGGCTTCTACTGATCCAATGACAATCTGTCATCGTATGTGCTAAAGGGTAGGCAGCTGAAATGAACGTTACATTATTTCAGCAGTATTGTGGGTGGGACACCCCCTCAACCTAAGAGACTTAAGGCAGCCTCCAAGATGGGTCTGTCTGTATACAGCAGAAGTTGTCAGTGCTGTCAAATTGAGCTGAAGTGAAGCTTAAATATTATAATATGTAGTGAGAGGGAGGATCTGGCTACAGAATTCTTCATTTGTTTAACACTTCCCTACATCTAAATGGTTACTTAGGAAACCAGTACATTTACAGCATCTAAAATGAGTAATCAGTCAGGAAGTCTTTTTATATTCAGAGCCTGGCAATCAGGAGTAAGTGTGACATGATTTAAAAAATACACTGGAAATCTTAACAGAGCTTGCTGGACACCAAACTCCAAGCTAACCATCACTTTCACCTTCTTGTTTCTAAAGAATGATGAGTAATGTTTGCCTAATGCTACAACTCCATGTGTGCCTGGGTGAAGACAGCTTTTGAAAAGGTAGCACACTAGCAATATAGTTCTTTATTCTTAACTGTTGGCAGAATCAGATACAGAAATCAAGCAGCTTGGGACCAAGGTTGCAGTCTACTGCATTGACATGCTATGGCTTTATTTCTGAAGAGGACTATGAAGTAGATGGTAAAAAGAAAAGCCAGCAAATGGGCTTGACCTCTTTTTGGAATTTAAAAATGACACCATAGGTCAAAGTATTAAAACAAAAGCCCACTGGATGAGTTACAGAATTAAACGTGCAAGACTTCAAAGCCTGCAACTTTGCACTGTAAATAATGGGAAAATAAAGAAGTACCTTGTGTATATGTCCCCACTTCCCCCAAACTTATTTCCAAGGCTATGCATGGTGGGAGATTTTCGATTGAGTGTGTTACTCACTAACAATTCCTGCCGAGCTAAATGTCCCCTGAACGCTGCCTGAATCACAACAGCCGCCTAGCAGGGAGAGAGATAAATGGGTATTAACTCTCTTGAAAGATGGCAGCTACAAATTAAAGTAGTGTCCAGAGGGGAAAAAGGCATTACAGGAGAAAACTATTTTCCCTGTGCAGTGACAACTGTTTGATGTGCAGGCATTTCCCCTCTAATCAAGAGGCATCCTTAACCACCTCACATGTGCTTGTCTGCAATCCAAAAGGGTTTCAACCTATAAATGATAAAAGAACTGCACAGACACACAACTCTACAGTAAATTTAACCTGGGAATCTGCACATTATGGAGCCTGTCAAATGCAATTAAATTCAAGCTGCCAACATTGGCCCATATTTCTTAGATACAGCAATGCAGTCATACTCCCATCCTAGATCTCAGCTACCTAGCAGGCTTTGCTGCTTGATAATATCAGAAATCAAGAGGAGTCTGGCAAATGTTCTGGTGAATACATTAAACAAATGTTCTTTCTCTCTGCTAAGGGATTTTAATTCTGAACTAGAATATTTAGAGTGTAAAGTGAAATTTTAAAAACACCATTCTGATAGATGTTAAATATAGTTTTACATTATAAGAGCATGGAAAGAGCTTTGGCACGTCTCATCCTTCTCTCTACTAACCTACTAAAAATGGACATTAAAGAAGAAAATGCATATGATATTATATTGTGCTAGTTGAGAAATACTATACAACCATGCAATGAAGAACTTTGTCACAGTGAGGGGTGGTCATTAGACTGCCAACTGTCTAATCACACAAACCTTAATACTCTTGTCCCACGCTTGCCCTGAGACCCTGCCCTACTCCTTTACTAAGGCCCTGCTCCAGCTCATTCTATCCCCTCTCGCTCACTCTCCTCCATCCTCACCCACTTTTACTGGAATGGGGCAGGAGGTTGGGATGTGGACTCTGGGGTCGGGCTGAGGGTTTGGAGTATGGGAGGGGGGTCTGAGCTGAGCCTAGGGCAAGCGACTAGGGTCCAGGAGGCAGCATGGGCTCTGGGAGGGAGTTTGGGTACAGCAGGAGGTTCAGGGCTGGGGCAGAAGTGAAAGGGGGTGAGAGAGATGGGATCTAAAAGGGAGGATGGGTATGAGGGGCCTCAGGCCTGAGGCAGGAGATGCAGAAGGGAGCACAGGCTCTGGGTGGGAGTTTGGTGTGGGAAGGGCTCGAGGCTGGGGTAGGGGGTTGTGATGCAGGAGGGGGTATGGGTTCGGGGAGGAAGTTTGGGTGCAAAATGGGGCCCAAGGTTAGGGAAGTGGGTTGGGATTCAGGAAGAGGCCAGGATGTGGGTTCCTGCCGAGTGGTATTACCTTGGGTAGCTTTGAGTTTTGGTCAGTGAAGCAGTGGGGCTAAGACAGGCTCCCTGCTTTCCCTAAGACCTGTGCCAGCATGTCCCCATAGGCCCTAGGAAGAGGATGGGGAGGCCAGGTGGCTCCACACGCTGTCCATGCCTGCAATGGGAGCTGTGAAGTCATTGCTCAGGTTGTGGCCAGTGTGCGGAGACCTGTCTCTCTTACCTATGGGCTGCAGGGAGGGATGTGCCAGCGACTTCCAGGAGTGGTGCAGGAACAAGGCAGGCAGGAAGCCTGCCTTTGCCCTGCTCACCCCAGACTTTTAGTGGCTTATATTCTGGTTTGTCTCCAGGAGCCTCCAGGAGAATAAGCCCAATTCTAGAAGATTCCCAGCACAACTTGGAACGTTGGAAACCTACTTGGTCATACATGTTCTATCAATTCTGTCAAAACATTTGAGTTTTCAATAAAATACTGTTATAAGAAATGTCTGCTCTCTGTGGAAAAATTTTGATTTTTTTGGTCAAAAAAGTTTAAGTAACTGTAAAACAAATTACTGTATTTTGATTCAGCCATTCAGCCATGTTGCCTCATGAGAGCTTTATTTCAGTTTCTACCAACCCTCAGGGCTCATCTAGACTATGCTAAAGTGTCGAAAGAGGATATGCAAATTCTGTGGGAATTTGCATATCTTCTTCTGATCTCACTTTCGAAAGCAAAGCTTCGAAAGTGAAAGTAATCAAGATGCATTTTTTGGCAACCCCCTTCCCTTTTTCAAAAAGCCATGTAAACCTCATTTTTTGAGGAAAAGCGGCTTTTAAAAAAAGGGGGGGAAGTTGCCGAAAAAAAGCGTCTTGATTACTTTCATTTCAAAGCTCTGCTTTCGAAAGTGAGATCAGAAGAAGATATGCAAATTCCCGCAGAATTTGCATAACTCCTTTTGACACTTTTGCGTAGTCTAGATGACCCCTCAGTGACCTTTATGAGCTGGGCTCCCTACCTGAACTACATCTCCCATGATGCACCTTACCCAGGGATTTGAGTGATACAACCGCCTTCCCTCACCAGGAGGGTGACTGTGGTACATCATATTAGATGTAGTCTAACAGGAAGCCCAGCAATAAAGGAGAATGGGAACATGAGACACCCAAATGTAAGCTCCCGGGAGGTACCATTGCAGCATTTTGGAATCAAAATATTTAAATTTTATATTTTTTGCCAGATAAAATTTTCCAATAAAGAAATAAAGTGCATTTCCAGCTCTAATTATAATGCATATATGCATGTGGCAGAGTTGAAGCTGTGCATGCAAACTTAAGTGTGGCTTTTCCCAACCTGTTTAACTATGCAACCCTAGAAGTCTCTTAAAGATTTTAGTATAAAAGATCCTAGGTTGTTTTTTGTTTTGTTTTTTAAAGAAAAAGACTGTAAAAATTGAAAAAGCAATTCACTCTTCAGAGTTTTATGTGCTGTAAGACACGGGCAACAGCAGGTGCAAATTCCATAAGAATGCCATGTCCTACCAAACAAGACAGTCTACAAGAGAGAGAGATCTTCCCCAATGCAGCTTAGGAGTTTTCAGAGAAAATTACAAAACTTGGGGTGATCCTACCTAGTTTGCTGGGGCAGATCCAAGACCTTCTGAGAAGCCCATGTACACTCTTAGTATACATTTCACTATGCAACTAAGGCTTCCATCCTGAATCAAGAATCGTGAAAGAACTCCTCCTTAGTCACATGGAGACCAAGTGATTTAACAGGGCTCCATGTAGGCACCTGGGTATACTCATTGTCCTTGAGGTGGCTTCAGGGCCTAAATTAGTAATGCTCACAGCACAACCTCTCTTAGAGGTCAACTTTATGAGTTTAATGAAAAATCTTGTGAAAAATATAACACATATACAGGTATCAAAGGGTTATAATTTGGTCAAATGATTGTTCCAGTTAAATGGCTATAAAGAGCACTTCTTAATGAGGGCTGTTTCCATGTCAAATGTCTACATCTAGCCTTTTTGAAGATAGGGCTCTTCATAGAAAGGTTGCAAGAATTAGTTATTATACTGGGAAAACTTTTCTCCATATCATCTGCAGCTCCATATACTCAGAAATGCCAGAACCATTTTTGCTCCTGTTTTCCAAAAAGATACATCTTTTGACAGAGAACACATAGAAAATGTGAACCCCAAAGGAGAAAGTTTAAGTAAATCATGAACAATTGAAAACAGAATGTCAAAAGATAAATTGTTACTGAACTATTATTTCCAGCAAATCACTAGTGCTTCTGCTAGAATACTGAAGCTCGTAATAATAATAATAATCTCTTTAAAATTATATAGCTGCTTGTTTATACTTTATTATAAAGTGAACATGAATTGTCATTTATTGGTACAATACACACTTACCTGATCCAGAGCCATTTCTTCTTTCTGAAATGGAGAAAATTTCTAAATAAACATCATAAGGATATATGGCTTTTATTACCCAAAAGGTCTCATATTTTCTTACAGCTACTAAAAAGGCATTTCAAAACAACTGAAAAGCTCATTTTTTTCTATCCGTGGGCAGCTTTCTTTAACTGGATTTTTTGGAGATTGTTTGTTAGCTTGGTAGTGGATTTTTTTTATGTTCCCCTATCTCTAACCTCTGAAATCATGGACACAGAAAAGCATAACTTACTTCGTTTGTTCATAAAACAAAAGGTAATATAAAACATGCTTTTAGTTTGTTCAACTTATCCTAGTTGGATGAAGCTCAGGCTAAAGAAATTTCCCGGTTTCCTCTGATGATTTAAGGGATGCAGAATCATCCCTCAAAACTACCATATCATGCTTTGAGCTCCACATATATCTAAGTATTATCCTACATGAACCTGGATGGGCCATACCCTTTATTTTTGCAAATTAATGATCTCTGAAACAATAAGTCATGGAAGAGATTTCACCAAAAGTTTTTACATTACCTTTCAAAAGAATGTAATACTCTTTTATTTCATGCACCTTCCTTATTTTTCATTGCATCATTTATTTTGGTTCTCTCTCACATATTCTAAAAGTCAGGTTCTCATATTTGGGCCCTAAATGGTTATGATATGGAAAGAATTTCTTAATTCCACTTCTTTCCCTGTCCTCAACATCTGAGCACTGGGCTTTCAACTCTGGCACTAAAATACAAGTTCCAAAAATCTGTAATGTCTTGCATTTCTGATTTACCTCACTTATGGTACTCAGAGTTTGCTGGAAATTATACTCTCTGAGAAAAATGTTGATCAAAATTAAAAAAAAAAAAAGTTACCCATTGAAAAATTCAAATTTTCAGTGAAAAAAAATCAACATTTTATATACTAAAATTCTTAAATGCCACCAGGGTGCCCATGGGAGTTGTAGTTTGGGTTTTCATACTTGCTTTCTCTTCCATGGGAGATCCCTGATCAGAGTAAATCTCCCATGAGAAACCTTTTGGTGAGGGAAGCCATATTCTGGAAGACTCACCTGTCTGTGATTAGTCATGGGAGGACTCAAGCTAGAGAACCCATTCTGGAGGAGGATGGGAACATGAGGTACCTTAATTACAGTTCCCAACAAACAGTGCAGCAGCATTTTAGAATCAAAATTTTAAAAATGGCTGAATTAAAAATCAGTTTCTGGGTGTCCTTTTTTTTTTTTTTTTTTTTTTGACAAAACTATCAAAATTTTCCACAGAAAACAGACCTGTCACACGAAAAAAAAGTGGATTTTTTTTTACCAGCTCTAGTACACAGTACTTCTTTCTCCTAGTCATGGCTACTACCGACACCTTTTCCTTTAGTTCAGTCAAGTCAGGCCTGATTCTAGCAAAATTCACATTCACTGTTATAATGTTAGCACAGTCTCCAGCAGATAGAATGACAGAAATGAAAAAGAACTATCCTTAAGCAGAAGGATTAATCCTTAATAAAAAGGCCCCCAAAAAAGGAGAAATATCCAGGCGAAGCAGGAAACTCAGACATTTGGTTCTGATTGTATCAGTGCTCTGATTCCTGATGCTCATCAGCAGGCTATTCAGTACCCTGAAATGAAGGTGAGGCATCAGGATATTAAAAACAAACAAGCAAAAGCCTGTCCATTTCTAAGAATTTCAACTTGTTTCTGTTAAGGATGTTAAAATGCGGTTAATTGACTAGTCGATGGAATTTTCCATTCCCACAATGGCAGTTACTATCTTGTTAAAAAATGGCAATTTGTAATACTAATATCTTATCTTGAGAACAAGTACAAATGACATGATTTTGCAATCCTTTTACAGGCAAAACTTGCACTAATTTCCACTGGAGTTTTGCAAGTGTAAGGATATCCCAATTGGTCCAATACTCATTTGTTTCCACTTACTAATGGGATGGCCACCCTGAAACACCAACAATAGGAGTCGAGTGTAAATGAACAGAATCTTGTTCCTCTTTATACCTTTAACAAATCAGCAACTTGGAAAGCAATGAAAAAGTAATGACAAAACTAAAGAGCTTCCTACTTCTGATTACAAGAGTACAATTCTGCACTCTGTCTCAGGCAAATCACATGGCTGACCCAAAACATGTGTATCCCCATATCATGACATAAATTGAGTCTTAATTTTTAAGACTGTCTTTCAATCTCATACAATTACTTATAGGAAAATATTGAAGCATTTCTCACACACTGTAAATCTTAAAACACTATACTTGTAGGAGGCAAAAATATTGGGCGGGGGGGTGGGGGAATCTCATAAGGGGAGGAACCCAAGAAGCTACTAGAAAGCTACAACCAGGCAAAATGCCTAGACCAGACAGCTTGTGTGTACACTTTAACAGAAACTGCCCCAAAGAGATTAGTCAACCGTTACTAGATGAGTTGACTATGTCCACCTAATTAACTTATTGGCCAGGCTAACTCCATTCTGTCAACTCTACAAAGACCCCACTGCTGTAGTTCACATGTTGCTAAGACATCAAACTCTTGCCAAATTGCTAGCATTGCAATTATGCAACAAAACAGAAAACAACCACTATTGCAATCCACGAGAGGGGTGGGCAATAATTTTTTGCTGGGGGACACTGCACAAATTTTTGAAGTGACCCTGGGTCACACAGGAAGGGGCGGGGCCACAGTATTTCCAGGTTCCCCGCCCTTAGACAATGATTTGTCTGGGGGTGAGGGAGTATCTTTGCCACCACCCCATGTTCCACCTAGGTGCCCAGGCCCTTGGCATGGGAGGACACTTCCCACGCTCCCTTGCCCTCTCTGCTCACAGGGCAGGGGCAAAATACTTGGCCTGGAGTGGGCGGGGGGTGCAGCAGGGCCTCCGCAGGCTGGATCCACCCGCTTGGCGGGCCAGAAAGTGGGGTGCAAGAAAGAATGAAGTTATACCTTGTTTGGCATTTCCATGATATCATCTACAGTTTGTTTCTTGTCTTCGTATAGTTCTGCCTCCAGTTCTCTCACTTTTTGTGTAAGGCTCTGGATTTCCTCCCTATAGCCAGGAGCGTACAAATTATTTGTAGTCAGAACTTTTCTGCTGTACAGGAGCACACAATGCATGTCTCCAGAGTGAGACAAAGAGAGACATCACAGTGGTAAGTTAAAAACAGTGACCAAGATCACAGTAAATAGTCTGGTCGCACTTTAAAGACTAGCAAAACATGTAGATAGTATCAGGAGCTATAGTGGGCACAGCCAATATCTGAAGAAGTGGGCTGTGCCCACGAAAGCTCATGATACCATCTACATATTTTGTTAACCTTTAAAGTGCTACCAGACTATTTGATGTTTTTTAAGTTTATCCTGTACAGACTAACTTGGCTACCCCCTGAAGCTCAAGATCACAGTGATACTTTTGAAGCTATTACTAATGCCACCGGACCTGACCCAATAATTCAGTGACCAGCAGATACAAGACTGTGGCAAAACTGTGTGTTTTACTTTGGCTTGATGCTAGTTTCTGATCGAGGTAACAGAAACACATTTTTTGCCATGATTGTCTCTAATGATCACTGCTTGGTTATAAGTAACTCCTCCAGTGGACGGGAAACCATGCTGTTATGAGTCAGGGTGGAAGTGGTAATGATCCACATCCTCTCTTCTCCGAAGCAATGAGAAGGACAAGAAAAGGTCATCCAGCCGAACACACCAGGCATGGTTTATTTTAATCCTACATTTCAGCTTTTCCAACAGGCTCCTCAGTCCGCCTTACCCCCAGAACACAGAGATGTCATTTCACACTCTGCTTCAAATCTCCATTCCCCAAAACTTATTCCAAGATTACCATCATTTAGCCAAAACAGTCAGCCCAGATACCTCATTTACTTTTTGTTTCTCACAATTCATATGACACACTGCATATTTTGAACCACTTAGTATGAGAACTGTGTCATAATCAACTTTATCAGTCCTTTTCAAAATTGGAAAATATCTATACCTCAAAGCCTCCTCTTTTTCACACTTTTCTTTCTCCATCTTCTGCCACTTTTGCAGCTCCCTCTCCAATTCAGTCTTCGCTTGCTGTAATTGCTTCACCTCTGAACTGTATGAGAATAGTGAATTAATCGCTAAGGCAGTGTTTATATAATTTGCATTTCAATGTATTAGAGGAATTATTTGACAATTACATTTCAACTAATGTTGAATAAAATCTGTTTAATCGGTAATTTTATATTGTAAATAGTACATATTTATGCTTATAATACCATATTCTATGGTATACATGGTTTAGATGAAAAAGGGCTTCTTGCATATTATTGATACTAGCATTACCCATCCCGTTGTGACGGTAGATGTACACATGGCCTCCTCCCTCCCCACTGTTCCTGGGGATGGGGAAGCTTGGGTCACGCAGCTGCCTCCCTTCATGCTGCTCCGGAGACGGGGAGGCTGGAGCCACATGGCCTCCTCCCTCCCTGTTGATTCCGGGGCTGGGAAGTCTTGGGCCAGCTCCAGCCGTGGGGCCTCCTCCCTCCCTGCTGCTCCCGGGGCTGGGGAGGCTCGGGCCATGTGGCCTCTTCTCTCCCCACTGCTCTGGAGATGCTGGGGTGCATGTGCGCTCTTTTCCCCTCTCCCTGGTGGTGGTGGGGTGTGCGCAAATGGTCTCCTGCCTCCCTGCTGCTCCAAGGACCGGGGAGGCTTGGGCCGGCTTGGACCGTGGGGGCCTCCTTCTGCCCTGCTGCTTTGGGGATGCCAGGGCACACATGCGTGTGCACTTCTCCACTCCCTGTGGTGAGGGCGAGGCCTCAGCAGAGTGGGTGGGACTGTAGGTGGGGCTGAAGGGCCTGCCTGCCTCCCCCTAGAAACTTCTCAAGTCTTCTCAAATGTTCTCTGTGGCAGACGGCATGATGGACGCCTCTTCTTTTATAACAGTATAGGTATTGATAAGGTCTATGTCCCTGTGTACTTTTGCACTGAAGGATCATATTAAAATACAAGGCTACTCTATGCACACATCTCAGCTCCTAGTTAGAGTAAGCTGTCACTCTATGCACTGACGAAACACAAAGCAATTCAGCAGCCCAGTTGGAGGGCGAATGCCAGAATGCAACAGAAAACAAGAGGAATATTTCAGAGGAGAAAATGATGGATTAGGTCAAAAGTTCTGTTGCAAAATGATTTAAGGAAGTAATTATGACATTTTAGCATTCTTCAGATGTTATCTTGCCAAAAATTTCATCAGCCTTTAAAATTCTTCGGAAACCTGCAGAAGTTTCCATTTGTTGATGGTCAACTGTGCCATTCCTTAAGAGAAACCTTTTAAAAAACGGACATGACAAAGAGTGATTTTTAACCCTTTTTTGAAAATCTAGACAATCTGTCTCCTAACCCCTCACAAATATCAAATGTTGCAGATTTAAAATGTGAGAAACTTTTCACATAGCTCCTTTCACGATACACTTCATATTTATTTAAAAAAAAAATCACAGAGACAGTACTACATCCCAGACTATAGTCACACTTACTATTTACTGGCCAGATGATCTTGCAGTGCACTCCTATCACCCTTCAGTTTCTTCACCAGTCCTCGGAGGCGCTCACATTCTTCAAGGGGGTCACTTTCTTGAGTGGATGGTTGTTCCTGCTGTACAGAAGCTGAAGGTGGCAGACCAAGCAATGGTGATGTGCCATTAGCTGATGACTGCAATCTGCTATTCTCTATCTCATGCACTTCCTAAAGGTTGAAGAGAAAAAAATGAAAATTTTCTCTTTCTGTCTCTGAAGATATGGGAAATGCAGGACAATGTAGCACTTTAAAGACTAACAAGATGGTTTATTAGATGATGAGCTTTCGTGGGCCAGACCCACTTCCTCAGATCAAATCGAAGGAAACAGATCCTCATCTGGCATAAACAGACGTCAATGGAGCCGTACTGATTTGCACCACTGAGGATCTGACCCAGGGTAGGAAAGATGAAAGGAAAGCAGGATCAAAGGGAGATTAATCTTAAAACTGCAGCAATAAAAGGTAGGTATGACACAGCAAAAAAGGGAACAGTAAATACCTGTTCATATGTATGAGAGAGAATGCAACAAGTTGATATTTAGAAGGATAAGGCACCATGAACACAGATCAATGACTTTATGTTTTCTGTTCTACCAATGATAAGACAGAATATATTACTTCTGTCACTCACTTTTTCCAGCTCTGAAATCCGTCTCACCAGCCTCTGTCTGCTCCACTCATTGTAATCTGAAGAAGGTAACAAGGTTTTAAACAAGAAGTTGTATTGGTGAGACACAAATCCCTAGAAAAAAGGAAGCTTGCGTCCATTCAGAAGGCCCACCTCATTGTAAAAAACTAAAAATCAGCTTTTGAGAAGCTGCCTTAAAAGACAGAAACATCTATAAACATTTGACATCTGACTCAAACCATTTCAAAGTTTAAATTAGACCATTTTAACCAGCACAAGATAATTCTGAACGATGGAAAACAGGGCTTTATGGGGAATGTCTTGTTCCTCTAGGCTCTCTCTGGAAACTGGAAGGGAGCTGGAGCAACAGGAATTGAGGAGGGAACACAAATCCCTAGAAAAAAGGAAGCTTGCGTCCATTCAGAAGGCCCACCTCATTGTAAAAAACTAAAAATCAGCTTTTGAGAAGCTGCCTTAAAAGACAGAAACACCAGAGGGACAATGAAAGAGAGGGAAAAAAGAATGAGGAAGACTCCCCAAAGGCAGTGGGGGATGGGGCTGTAGGTAAGGAAAAGAGAGAAAACTGACAGCCTGGGGGACTGAACTGGTGGTGGCAGGAATACATAGAGGGGTAAATTAGGGTAGCTGTAGCAAGTGAATCCATCCATGGCAACAGGAGAGCTTCTCTCATTGGTACAGGTATTCCACCTCCAAAGCTATATTGGGGGAGAAGCCCTTGTGTCAACATAGCACTGTCTACACTGGGGCTAGGTTGATGTAATTGTGTCCCTCGGAAGTGGAAAATCCACACCCCTGAGCAATGTAGTCATACCAACATACGTATAGTATAGACTAGAGCAAGACCTAGTGACCAGTACAAGAACAGTTTCATGAAGGCATTTTCTTTTTCAAAACAGAATGTAAATGTCTTCCAGTGTGATTTTGCCAGCTGCAGACACACAAATTTGCTCTTGCTAGTGACTCCTGGCCCACAGAGTCTAACTATAATTTAGTCCACTCAGTTTGATGCTCCTGGAATAATGATTACAGAGTAATTGTAGCCCATTTTCACGTAACACATTTTCAATGCTTCTATGAGATATATCCATATTGCCTTGTAGTCTATGAAGGGTACCTGTCTCCCACCTCCTTTCTGTGCACCTGAAGCCTAGTTCCCTACCCTTAACCTTTCAACACATACATTTTGTTTTGCTAGAACCAGGGGAATTGCTCAGCACTCGGTCTAGATCTGCTTTCAGGCTTTTATTTTCATCCCGAAGCTCCTTGATGTTCTTGGATAATCGCAGGACAGCAGCATTCAGCACCTTTAACTGTTTTTGGGATTCTCTGCTCTCTGAAGGAGATCTGTGCTTGGAAAAGTAGACAAAAGCAGGGGTTTAGACTTAACCACAGCACAAAGGGCATGGCTAAACTACATCCCTCTTTCAAAAGAGCTCAGATTAGACAGATCGAAATTGCAAATGAAGCCAGGATTTGAATTTCCTGTGTTTCATTTGCATAATGGAGGCAGCACATTTTCGAAAACAGGTATTTCAAAAGTGAAACCGCTGTCGAGACGTGGCTCTTTCGAACGCACGGATGGCATTATATAAATGAAGCACAGGAAATTCAAATTTCGATCTGTCTAATTTACATCCCTCTTTTGAAAAAGGGATGTAGTCTAGACATAGCCAAAGAGTTAATAATCTATCAATCGGTATTTTAGAAATGAAATGTCTGTCTGTACATCTGTTTGTGCAAGAACTCCTCTTAAACGGTAACAGCTAGGGCCACCAAATTCAGAAGGCTGTTTCCTATTACCCTAACTTAAAGGGAGGTCAAGGTTTGGTTGTGCTGGGACCATGGGAAGTTGCAGGAATGGGGTTGTTTTTCACAACACAGAAAAGGAGGTGCAGAGAGAGGAGGGACACAATCCTCACACTCACTAGTGGGGGTGGCATGCAAGGATGGGATACTGAAGAGTGAGCACTGGGGACAGCCACACCAGCACGAGACTGACAGGCTGGGGACGGAGCTCTGTATGTTGCTGGCCAGGCTACCTTCTACCCTTATCCCCAGCAGCTTCATTACCTCACCCCATGATACAGGATCTGCCCCTCCACCTATGTGGGCCTGCACACTCCTTCCCTTCCCCACTGCTCCACATAGGTGCAGGGGCCTAGTGATTTCCCTCTCTCCCCGCTGCCACTTCACCCACATGGGGATTTCCTTCATCCCTCTGAACACCTCTTCACAGGCCTGAGGATTCCCACAACACTAGGGCTCCTCATGGGGCCTAGGGAGTCCCTTTCCTCTCTCCTCCTGCCTCACCCACAGCTCCTCAAGGGGCCAGGTTGTGCCCTCCTTTTTGAAAATTAAAATAATTTACATAACACATGTGCATTTTCCTTTTATTTCCCCACAAAACCCAACCAACCATTTCTTGAGTTACACACCCAAGCAACGCCAGGTAAATCTTCTAATCTTATATTTCTGAAAGCTTGTTTGTTTGTTTGTTTGTCCCAAAAGATCTCCGAAACGGCAAGAGCTAGAAACACCAAGTTTTGCACGGATACTACTGATTTCCAAACTTAACTTATTGGATTGGTTATATCTCGAAATCGGTTCCCCCATTGGGCCCACTGATAATTAGCTTTTAGTAGCACCTGATTGTAGAAACACAAAATTTTCCACAGATACTACTGATTTCCTCACTTAAATAACTGGATGGGTTATATCTCAAAATCGGTTCTCCCAGAACCCCAACTGGGCCATTAATTTGCTTTTAGTAGCGCCTGATCATAGGCATTTGCTGGACTCTTCTGTTAAGCATGTCACATAAACAGCAACTACCAGATCCTTTCCCTATGATAGCAGAACAAGTATTTCCAATAAAATGTTATGTTAATGTACTTTACGTAATTCATTCACCACACCTTTTATCATCAAGAAATGAGATAAATGTAAATGTGTTTTGTAAGAACATCACTAGCTATGTTAATTTCTTAAAATAATATATAAGAGAAAAGTATTCCCAAGAAAATATGCTATGTACTTCATTCATCATACCTTTTACTATATTTTCCCCGGGTGACACCCAGTACTTTTGCTAGTTACAAATAAATGAGAAACCCCTCCACATGCAATAAACCAGCAGATTGGATTTAGAATAGTGATAGAAATGTAGCTGTGTTAGTCTAGTGTAGCTGAAACAAAAAACAGGACTATGTAGCACTTTAAAGACTAACAAGATGGTTTATTAGGTGATGAGCTTTCGTGGGCCAGACCCACTTCCTCAGATCAAATAGTGGAAGAAAATTGGCACAACCATATATACAAAAGGATACGATCAAAAAAATGAACACATATGAAAAGGACAAATCAAATTTCAGAACAGAAGGAGGATGGGGGGGAGGTAAATGTCTGTGAGCTAATGATATTAGAGGTGATAATTGGGGAGGCTATCTTTGTGATGGGTAAGACTAGGAGAGAGAAGGATGCATTTGGGAAGGAGCAAATGCATTACAAGAAATTTCTAAGTAAGAAGCTATATTTTCAGACATGTTATGGTGCAGCATTCAGTTAACAGATGCTCTTTTTCCTCTAAAGGAAGTCCTCTGCTAAGCTTCTCTCTCCACCTATAAAGAAACACTGAAATCAACACTAGATGAGAAACAGACAGGGCATGAAGACAACAGCAGTGTGGTGGAAACATCAGGAAACAAACAAGTCAGAGACTACAATGCGTTCAAAACTTCCAGAACTTGATTATACTACTGTAAGTACTGTGGGTAACTCAACAGCCATTAGAAATGGTTGTAAAGTTTGTTCCCACTACAGAATTTCTGATGATGTGGAACAGCTACTCTGCACTGCTATAGAGGAGACCCAGGTTACAAAGCAACTTCTCAAACAATGATGAGAGGCTTAATGAATTGACCAAGCCCTGTCATGACCAAATGCCAGTCACAATGGCCAACAGATAAAACAGTTTGTGAAGATGCCACATCTCTCTGTGCACTGGAACACAGTCACTATGGCAGCCTACTGGAGAAGGGAAGACTGTCATGGATAAGGCATACAGTATGAAAAGCTGGGGACAACTCGCTCTTAAGGGGTCTACTATGGGAAACAAAGTTAAAACAACCAACCAAACAAGGAAGGTTTTTTTTTTTTTTAATAAAACTGTCCCAGAGAGAAAAATGGGAAGATGAAAGAAATGGTACCTGCATCAATAAATGCCCATTATTTCAAGCAGCTGTCTAGTTAAACAATCACAGAGTGCCAGATTTTGTGGAGTGAACCATACTGAGGAGCTGAAGGTTTTTTAACTTTGTCAACAGAAGGAAACCACACCCTTTGATGCTGGAGCGATATACTTATTTCTAGAGAAATGAAAACTGCCCAGTCCTTTTTATGCACCCTGCTCAAGAGAGCCAAAATGTACTTTAAAGATTTACATTGTATAGTTCTAAAAGGCAAGAAAATTAAGAATCAGGAAAGGAGAGACTAAGCATGCTAAGTTGACACTGAACAATCTAGGCAGGCACCTTGCAATATAGTTCTGACCTTCCGCATCATTTGCTATTCCAGCTCTTGGCCTTGTGAGTAAAGGCTGCCAGTCATGCAGTTGGCAAAGACTGTCCTGACCATTGTTTCTGGGGCCGTGCATAAATGAGGACTAAAAGGAGTTCTGATGACTCATTTTCACCTATAACTTGAACTGAATTTCATATCCTTCAGCATGGAAAGCCTACTTCATTAACTCATTGCATGCCTGAGCCAAAAGAAATGAAATATTTTTAATAGTGACAAATTAAATTCCAGTTTTTAATCAACCACAAATGACAGAACAGGAGAATAGAAGGAACATGGGCTATGTCTACACTTCAGGGAAAAGTCGGAAAAAGATACACAAATTGCAAACCACAATTTGCGTATCTTTTCTGGCTTTTCTTCCAAAAGAGGCTTTTCTGACATTTGGTCTGTTTACATGGGGCCAAATGTCAGGAAAAAAACCTCTTTCGTAGCATGTCTTCTTCCACGTAGAATGAGGTTTACAGGGATGCCGAAAAAACATGTCTGCTTTTCCAACAATTTTTCAGAAAAGCATGTTCCTTGGACATGGCAGAGCTTTAAAACTCTGTAGTGTAGATATAGCCATACAGTAGTATCCATACACAATCTGGTGGAATTGCATTGATTTTAATACACTCATGTCAGGAATTAAAATGGCCCATTGTGTTTCATACAAGAAAACACAAACAGACTCTGAAATATTGAGATATCATTTTCAGCAGAACATTATCCTTCCTGTCTAACCACTACTCAGCCTTCATGATTCAGGTGGTCAGATTAACTCAACCTTCCATACTCAGACACTAACTTTGCTTTCTAAATGTAATTTTACTCTAATGTTACTTACGTTTATGGTAAGATTAAATTACATTTTACACTACATACTTGAAAGCAACCTTGAGCTCCATAAAATTCCTGTCTTCATCCTACTGTACAGACCTTTCTCTGTCATCTTCATGGTAGCTTTCGTCATTGCTCATAATCGTTATCATCATGTCTATAATCTCCTAGGATATCATCTGGACAATTTTTAATTTACAGATTAGAACTGTTCTGAGAATACAGATTCCTTCAGAATATCTCCTTCATACTTCTAATATGCCATGTTGGAGAAACACATCCTTTTGGGTAGTGGCCAGGAGGGTATGATGTGCTCACATCCTCCACTTACAAGTTAGTTTGCTGTCTTGATTTTTTCCTTTTAATTTTTAATGAGATTAACAGGGCTATCTATATTTAGATAAAGTGGAAGCAGTCATTATGCAGGTTTCCGCCACACCATTTAGCAATTAACCTCAAGCATGACCTACAACCACACACTACTCTAATCCTATTTTTATAACCCGCCTATTATAATCCTGATGATTACATGATTATAATTCAGTTCTATTGATTCTTAGTTTACAGGGCAGGTGTATCATATTGGTATTTTTATTTATTGTAATTAGAGATGTGCCTGGCCTGCAAAGTTGGGATTTGGATCTGAATTTTCCTCAAATACTTGGCCCAGAAGTATGGTTCAGATCAATGTCTAATTTTAATGCTGTAATATTTATTATTAATAATTCTCTACCACGCTGTATATTAATCTTTTATACTTGCCTTTATGTTTTTAGACTCAGTACAGCATGTTTTGCCCAGCCTTCATCTCCTCTTGATCCTTGGTCCATCAGGGACAAGCATTAGTAAACTGGCCTAAGGGTATGTCTACATTGCAATTAGATGTGACTGTAGATCATGTAGGAATATGTGAGCTATCTTTGATCTGGGTACCTGTCCTAGATCAAAGCTAGCTTGAGTAACAGTAGCAGTGTATCTGCAGAAGCTTCTGGAGTACACCCATGTCCAGGATTCTGGATATATACTTGAGTGGCTAGTTCAGGGATGGGTAATAATTTTTCATGTGGAGGGCCACTTCAAGAATTTGGAAAATGGTCAAGGACCACACTCTTCCATATTAATGGAGAAAGCGTAGGGTCTAGGAGGTTTGTAACCTTGGGAGGGGGTGGAGGTTTGCAGCTGCAGGAGGGGGTGGAGGGATTTGGGCTGAAACCTAAGGCAGGAGTGGGTTATGACTTGGGGCAGGGGACTTGGGAACAGGAGGGAGTGCAGGGGTTTGCGTTGTAATATGGGGCAGGGGATTCAGGTGCAGGATCTGGAGGCAGAGGGTTTAGGTTATGTGGGATGGAGGACAGAGAGTTGGGGTGCCAGAGGCACCTCAAGCAGACTACCTGCGTGCCCCACTCCTGCACTGGCTGCAGGGGCCATGTGGTCTTTGAAGAGCTAGGGGCCTGAGAGGAGCAGGGAGGAAACCGGACAATGGGATTGTGCTGGGGCAGGAGCAGTGCACGAAGCATCTCTTCCCTTCCCCAGACTCACAGCTGTTCAAACAGCCCCACAGCAGCTTCTCTCAGCAGCACATGGGGGGCAGGCAGGGAGTCTGCCTGAAGTTCCCCACTGTGTCTGTGGGCCAGATCTGGCAGCTTGGAAGCCCAGATCTGGCCAGTGAAGGGTATTTTGCCCAGGTATGGGCTAGTCCATGCTCATGCCCATGCTAGCTTGTGCTCAGGCTGCTGCGGCTGCACAGCTATTATTACTTGAGCTAGCTTTGATTCAGCTAAAGCAAAGCAAACTTGGGGGGTTGACTAGGTGAACAGCAATCATACAACTAAACATATCCCAAAGAGACACTGCTCTGACTATGTCCCATTTCTACAACATCCTGACACCGCCTAACTGCTATCATTATTCAGTGTCAGTCATACTGCAGGCTCTGTGCTATAGAATTATTTTCACACCAAAAGCACTTTGTAGCATACAGTCTAGAGCGGTCTACATAAGAGACTTAAATGTGCAAGAATCAATTATCCAACAATTTCTACATATGTATTGCTGCTAGTAGAAGTGGTTCAATTTTTCAGGGCAATGAAATGGATTTTCTTTTATGAGGAATAAATGCTGGAAATTCTTTTAGGAGCTTTCAATTACTCTGCTTTAAAATCTTTTGCCTGGTTTTCAAACACCGTTAATATTTGGTTTCCTGGTTAATTAAACATGTATTTCTTTATTTTGTTTGACAGTGAGAATATTCTTTTGATTTAGTGTCTCTTCAGGGGGATCCAATTTTGGTGATACAGAATGTGAATTTAAAACTCTAATTGAGATAGATGGCTTTTGTTTTCCTCATTAAAAGCCCATCAATTCAGAGTGATAGCTCTACTGTTGAAGCAACAGGGGTGTGACGTGCACTGTGAAGCCAACAGAGGGAGCGTGGAAAAGCAAATCCAGCAGTAGCTAAATTATGACACAAACAACAATTTATATGCAATTGTTTTCCATCAGTTATTTTAGTATACACATTATATACTCAAAACATATAAAACATGCTCACGTCCCAAAAGAAATAAACATACTTTTTCCCCAGATCCTCAGATTTTGCCAGCAGGGTTTGGAGACGATGAATCTGAAATATAAAAAGACAGACTGAATTAATGGGCACACATAGCTGGCACCAAAAAGATTTAGCTGTTGGAAAACTCAGAATACTAACCTTCTACATGGTGAAAATAAAAGTTAGATCCTTTTGGCATTAACACAAATTATAATGCCATAGCCAAAAATAAAGAGTATATAGACTTATGGGCATCAATATAGATGCTGTGCTCAACACTGAATACTGTATGGCTACGTCTACACTGGCCAGTCTTGCGCAAGAACATATGCAAATGCGGTGCAGCAATGAATATCGCCATGCCTCATTGCATACCTAATGAGCTACCTAACGAGTTGCCATTTTGCGCAAGGGGCTTTTGCACAAGAAGGTGCAGTCTGCATTGCTCCTTCTTGCGCAAAAATCCCCTCTTGCGCAAGAGCTGTTCTGCCACTTATTTTCAGGCAGAACAGCTCTTAATCATAGAATACTAGGACTGGAAGGGACCTCAAGAGGTCATCGAGTCCAGTTCCCTGCCCTCATGGCAGGACCAAATACTGTCTAGACCAACCCTAAAAGACATTTATCTAACCTACTCTTAAATATCTCCAGAGATGGGGATTCCACAACCTCCCTGAGTAATTTATTCCAGTGTTTGACCACTCTGACAGTTAGGAACTTTTTCCTAATGTCCAACCTAAACCTCCCTTGCTGCAGTTTAAGCCCATTGCTTCTTGTTCTATCCTCAGAGGCCAAGATGAACAAGTTTTCTCCCTCCTCATGACACCCTTTTAGGTATCTGAAAACTGCTATCATGTCCCCCCTCAATCTTCTCTTTTCCAAACTAAACAAACCCAATTCTTTCAGCCTTCCTTCATAGGCCATGTTCTCTAGACCTTTAATCATTCTTGTTGCTCTTCTCTGGACCCTCTCCAATTTCTCCACATCCTTCTTGAAATGCGGTGCCCAGAACTGGACACAATACTCCAACTGAGGCCTACCCAGTGCAGAGTAGAGCGGAAGAATGACTTCTCGTGTCTTGCTCACAACACACCTGTTAAT